GTTGGTGTGACTCTGGTGTTGGTGTGACTCTGGTGTTGGTGTGACTCTGGTGTTGGTGTGACTCTGGTGTTGGTGTGACTCTGGTGTTGGTGTGACTCTGGTATTGGTGTGACTCTGGTATTGGTGTGACTCTGGGAGCTCATTACACCATTTGTGTTCTGAGGTGTGTCCAGCAGGGAGATTTTTTTTTTAATTATCATCCTCGAGGTTAGGTTAGGGTTGGTTAGGTTAGGTTAGGGTTGGATAGGTTAGGTCAAGTTAGGTCAGGTTAGGTTTGGTTTGGTTAAGTTAGGTTGTGTTCGGCTGGGTTAAGTTGGAATAGGTTGGGTTCGGTTCGGTTGGGTTAATCTGCTTTAGGTTAAGTTAGATTAAGTTTGGCTAGATTGGGTTATGTTATGTTAGATTGTTAGGTTAGGTTAGGTTAGCGTAGATAGGGTTAGGTTAGGTTAGTTTAGGTAAAATTAGATTGATTAGCATAAAACAGACGATCGTCGAGGATACACGTCGTCCACGTAGAATGTAATCAGCTTATTTCCTTTATCTCCCGCCAGTCTTGTTGCTGTTGAGTATGATGAATTGGTCACCTGAAGTATCTGAAACTGATAAGTGTGTAATAATAATAATAATAATAATAATTAACGGTTTATTGAAAGAGCTTGGCAGCCAGAAGGCTGAAAATATACAGTTACATATTTGGGGAATGGGTTTCGAATTACAAATAATATACAAGTAACATAAGTGATACAAATAAGAGATATAATAACTAGATGGGGAAAAGCTCAAACTACTGTGCATTTCAACATAGTAAAGAAGAGTAGTGTTACTGGGGAGTGAATGTGTGTGTGTGTGTGTGTGTGCGTGCGCGCCAAGAAAATCGATACATTCCTTCCTCTTTAACCAGTACAAGTCTTGACGTCTAACACACCATAGAGGCTTATAAGAATGGAGAAACAGCGGGCCTATTGGCCCATACTGGAACAGTCCGTTTACACCCAACTATTGCTCATATAAGCATCCAACCTATGTTTGAAGCTATTCAGCGTATTCGAGTTAATGATGATATTTGGTAACTTGTTGTTCCATTCATCCTGCTCTGTTTCAAAACCAGTGGTTTCCTGTTTCACGCCTAAAATCTAGAATTTGTCTGAAATTTAGCTTCATTGTTACAGAGTTCGCTCCTGGTTTGGATAGTTTGAGTACCTTTGCCAGCTCATCGCCTGTTTAGCCTGACTTCCCACTTGTACACCTCTATCAGGTCGCCCCTCGCTCTACGTCTCTCGAGGGAGTGCAAATTAAGATGCTTTAACCTGTCTCTATACTCAAGGTTCCTAATGCCCGGGATTAGTCTTGTCATTCTCCTCTGAATTCTTTCCAAGGATTCTATGTCCATTCTGTAATACGGTGACCAGAACTGAACTGCGTAATCCAGGTGTGGTCTCACAAGAGCAAGATACAGTTTTAGGATGACTGTTTGGTCTTATAACTAACACTCCTTTGTATGAACCCAAGTACTTTATTAGCCTTGTTACGAGCAAAAACACATTGTTTATTTGGCTTAAGGTTCCTACTTATCATTACTCCTAAATCTCTCTTGCAGTCGGATTTCTCTATGGCATCGTTGTTCATCTGGTATCTGGTTTCCCTGTTTACATCTCCTATACTGAGTACTTTACATTTGTCCACGTTGAATTTCATCTGCCATTTTTCAGACCATTCGAAAAATTTGTTTAGATCTACCTGTAGTTTTGCCGAGTCCTCGTCAGATTTAATAACACGTCCTATTTTAGTGTCATCAGCAAATTTACTTATGTTGCTGTCTATGCCGATATCGATGTCGTTTATGTATATAATAAATAATAATGGTCCAAGTACTGAGCCGTGGGGTACTCCACTTGTGATGTTGCTCCAATGGGACTTAGTGCCGTCATCAGGACCTCTTCCCCTTCACTCTACTCATCCCCTTCACTCTATTCCTCCCCTTCACTCTCCTCCTCCCCTTCACTCTCCTCCTCCCCTTCACTCTACTCTTCCCCTTCACCTCTTCCCTTCACTCTGTTTCTCCACTTCACTCCTACCTCTCCCCTTCACCCCTCTACTCCCTTCACTCTACTTCACTCTCCTCCTCCCCTTCACTCTCCTCCTCCCCTTCACTCTACTCTTCCCCTTCATTCTACTCTTCCCCTTCACTCTTCCAGGAGCGAGTAACCCCGCCATCGGCTTTGTCCCAGTCGTCTATACCTTCCCATCTCTAGGGACTCGTATCACTCCCCCCCCCCTACATCCTGCTATCTCCAGACTTTGCTCAGCTGCCTGTATGAAGCGTAAACAAAGGAGACCTGTGTGTGTGTGTGTCTATGTCGAGTACGATATTCCCGTTGAGACATATCCCCGCTAGACGAAACACAGTGGCAGGGTTTCACGTCAGTACCCACCAATGATAGTACTCCACGTCAATGAGCTATCCACTAATGACAGCACTCCACGTCACGAGGTAACCACCAATGATAGTACTCCACGTCACGAGCTACCCACCAGTGATAGTACCCCACGTCACGAGGTAACCTACCAATTACAGCACTTCCACGTCACGAATGACAATATATGTGTTTGTTTGGTTCCCTTTACATCTCTCACAGCCTCGTCAGGAGTGGGGAGGTTCTCTTTAATGATGGACAGATTATGACATATACGGACTATAACAGGTAGTCAGGGTGGGATTACTGCTGAAAATGACGGGGATTAGCGGGTAATATGGGAGGGAGATTACTGATAACATTGGCCCTAATGAGAAGCGGAAGTGTTGTGGTTTGTTCTTGCTTTCCCATACACTCGAGACATTCCCCCTCCCCCCCCCCCTTCAGTATGTCCTCTTCCCCCTTCCCCTTTCCCCTTTCATTTATCTTTACTTTCTCCTCCTCTTTCTCTTTGCTTTACATACCATCAATCTTTATACCTTTCCTATCCCTTTACTTTTTATTCCTACCCTTTTATACTCTTTCTCTTCAATCCTTTTCCCTTATCTCTTCTCTCCCCTACCCTCACCTTCCCTCACATAAACCCCTCACCTCTCTAACCTTCCCTCACATGAACCCCTAACCTGTCTAGCCTACCCTCACCCCTACCCTTCCCTCAGAGCCGACTCACACCACCTCCTTCTATCACCCCTTTCCTCGTCTAACTTCAGATAACTCCTCACATTTCTAACCTTCCCTCAATCCTCTCGTCACTATCCTGGAGGTAAGGTGAGGGTGGGGTGACAGGTCTTAAAGGTGGTCATCCCTGGTTAAAACTCTCTCATCAGCCTCTGTCCCATCGCCTTATCTCTTGGTAGTGATAAAAGAGATGCTTCAGCTCGCGTCTCCCTAACACATGAACAAGGAATGAATGATGGAATTGGTTTGGTTTGTTTTATTTAGGTTTGGTTTGGTTATAAACCCCTGGTTATTTCACCTGATGTTTAATCGACACTAATTACTAGAATTTAATTACCCAAATCCTTAATCAGTAAGTGAAGGATATTTGAAGCGATAAAGGCTTTTATGTCGAAAGTGAAAGTTGTCCTGATTAAATGTTAAATTCAGTCTGGTAAAAATGTTGAATTTTGTTATTTAAAACTTACAGTACAGTCATTACTTAATTGGAGTTTTTAATATTGCAAATGTTTTGGTATTATTTCAAGGGTCATTACTCTAATGCTAACCTAACCTACTGTAACCTAACAGCCGAATTTAACCTAACCTAACAGAACTTAACCCATCCTAACTTAACCTAACCCTACTTAACCTAACTTCACCTAACCTAACCCAACTTAACCTAGCCTAACTTAATATATACTAACTAACCTGAATTAACGTAACTTAACCTTTTAAAAGATGTGCTATGTCCTATGACTATTTTCTGAACCTAAATTGTGACTTTTCCCAGCTCCACCCCACACCCCAGCTCCACCCCACACCCCAGCTCCATCCCACACCCCAGCTCTACCCCACACTCCAGCTCCACCCCACACCCCAGCTCCACCCCACACTCCAGCTCCACCCCACCAAACACCACCAGTTGACCTGTGTTTTTTTTTATTTTTTTATCATTATGGACGTGGGTTTACAGCGAGGTGGGCGAGGGTAAAGTTTAATTATCTAGATTATCTGAACAGGTAATCCTTTACAAGCAAAACACAAGAGAGCAGTAATGAGGTAGGCACGCAGGTAGGTAGGTAGGTAGGCAGGTAGGTAGGTAGGCAGGTAGGTAGGTAGGCAGGCAGGTAGGTAGGTAGGCAGGTAGGTAGGTAGGTGGACAGGCTCGGGTGAAGGACATGGTCTGCTTTAATCGCTGTATTGAGCCTCGTGTTGATGGTCTAAGTGACACGCTTCTTCCGCCTCCGAGCGAAAACAAGTGACAGTCGACCCCCCAACAACAAAATTTAATATCCACTTGCATGATGGCGTTTCACTTAAGTCAGTTTGTTTGTCTGGCTCTCTATCCATCTAACCATGACGTGTGTGTGTGGATATTATGTAACAGTTGTGGTCCGTTTAATCTTTGTTTGATTATGAAGCCAACCAACACCAAAGGTTGATAAAGGCTTTGGTGTTATGGTCGAGAAAATGTTATCATGAAGGTAAATAAACTGGGTCACACACCATTTTTTTTCTAACCACCTGAATGTGTTTCGTCTATATGTTAGTTGGCTTAAGTATTACGAAAAGAGAAGTGAATTAGAAGAGTATTACACAAGGAATACTCCGAATGACACTCTATGAAATACTTGGGAATATTTAGGAATCTACACAACAACTTTTATCCTTTTGTATTCTCATAAAGTATGCCTCCCTAATACAACTCTCTCGTAAAGTATGCCCTAACAAATAACATTCTCTTCCTCTTATACTCTCATAAAGTATGCCTCTCTCTCGTAAAGTATGCCCTAACAAATAACATTCTCTTCCTCTTATACTCTCATAAAGTATGCCTCTCTAATACATCTTTTCTTCTCCTTACAGAGCGGCATGGAAGTGGGCGTGGCATCTTACACATCGGGGCGGCCCGTGGGCAGCTCACCAGACCGGGGGCGAGGACCTCCTCGGGGGAATCTACACGTGGAGTTCGCTCAGATCGGGGAGGTGAAGGAGAGGAAAGAGAAGTACCTCACAGCAAAGTACGGCGCCCACCAGATGTCTCTCATCAGGAAGAGGCTGGGCGTAGAGATGTGGATGTTCGATCAGTTACAGACGCTCTATCCTTCTCCGGTGAGTGGTCTCTCTCTCTCTAAAAATAAATTGTTTTTCTCCCTACTATCCAGGTCTTGGAAAAAATTGGTTGTAAGTTTTCAAAATAAGAACAAGAATTTCAGAGTAACGTTAGAGCATTTTAGTTTTGTATTCACTAGAAAATATTTTTTTTTTGTACCTAGACTTTAAATGGATATGAATTTAAATCTAGATATTCTCTTCCGATGACCGTCTATATAAACTTAGGCAATAATTAATAGTGAACAAAAAAATCCCCGTGTAATTAAAAAGACACTGCTGACATAACCATAACCCACGTATCTCAAATGGCATCTTTGTATAACTTAAAAAACAACAGAACATCGGAGGAGTAATGATTATATTCTCGGGCGTGTTCCGTAGCCCCGCACACGCCTCTATACCCCGCACACGCCTCTATACCCCGCACACGCCTCTATACCCCGCACGCTCTTCCCCGACACGTCTCTATACCCGCACACGCCTCTATACCCCGACACGCCTCATACCCCACGTCTCTATACCCACACGCCTCTATACCCCGACACGTCTCTATACCCGCCTCCCCGACACGCCTCTATACCCCGCACACGCCTCTTATACCCCGCACACGTCTCTATACCCACACGCCTCTATACCCGACACGTCTCTATACCCCACACGCCTCTATACCCCCACACGCTCTATACCCCGCACACGTCTCTATAACCGCAAGTCTCTATACCCGCACCCTATACCCGCTCTATACCCCAACCCACACGTCTTCCCGCACACGCTCTCCCCGCCTTATACCCCGCACACGTCTCTATACCCCGCACACGCCTCTATACCCCTCACACGTCTCTATACCCCGCACACGTCTCTACCATCAACTCGGGGAAGCAGATGTTTATGAATTCTTCTTAATATTATCATTAATCTTTTACCTGAATCTCGGCCAAGAAACACCCTTGAGATGATCGATCACTGGGTACCCGGTACACGCCCGTCCCTCAGATGTCCTGATACACGTGCCCATACTCGACCTTCTAGTAAAGCAGGAGGACGCAGAGGTGGGGGGGGGTGTTGGTCAGGGTCCCGCAGGGTGCAGCAGGAGGGAGGAGGAGGAGGAGGAGCAGGGGCCTGTTAATGTAAGCGCCGCCCCTTGACCCACTCTGGCCTCACGCGAGCTAATGGACCCGAAACTTTTGAAGCTTTTATGACCTTACACACTTAACTCCTTTGAGCGTTAGGGAGGGTTTGAGCTGTGTACAGGTGTGTGGGTGGATGTGCATGTAGAGTGAGGAACACAGACTGGCAGCACCAATTACAATAGACATAATAATAATAATAAATAATAATGAAGCTCTTGTCATCCAACGCTAGTCTTCTCTTAAATAATTTGCCCCCCCCCCCCCCCAAAAAAAAATGTTTTTAATATTCTTTTAATAGATCTGCCATTATGTATTGAAAGGCTTACAGATTCTGATGTAAATTATTAGTAAAAACAGTAAAATAAATGTCAGTTCATTTTTTCTTAGAGTGTCGGTCGGCGTTTGGTAGGAAGGTACAATTAAGAGGCAACAAATGTAGACATCATTTATGGTAACACTTGGAGAAAATTGCAATAGGCTCCCAACTATTAAATACAAATGTATTAATAATAAAAGAGGATAATAGCCAATAATAATTACCGGGTATTCTTTTCTAAACATTAGGCTGAAATGAACTGTAATATTTTTCCCCAGTTTCAATTTTAAGTTAGAGTGCGGCAAGAATACATTCTCTTCGATGGCTCTGCATTAGGCTGTAAAGAGTGGAAAGTATCCAAAAGATTTAAATATTCTGGTTGTACATTTACTTAGGTTGGGGGGCTCCTCGAGGATTACTCTGAAGAGGTCGTAAGCTCTTCTGTGGGTCGGGCCATGAGGAGAAGATCCTCCTAAGTATTCCCAGAGTCGTAGGAGGCGAGTGAAAGGGTCGAGTGGGAGGGCGAGTTAAAATTAAAATTCCTTCCGTTGCAAATTATAACTAATTACGACCTAGGTGTTGAGATTCTCAGGAGCTAGTTTGCATTTAGGGGCTGTGTGTGTGTGTGTGTGTCTGTCTCACTTCATTTATTCAGGAATCTAAGAGGTTTCATACTTAGGCAAATAGACACAGTTTTGATAGCCTTGGAGTCTTTAATAACTAAGAAAAGTAGACAGACAGTTTTAATATTCTAGGTGTCTTTAATAAACAGTAAAGTAGTCAGGCAGTTTTAATAACCCCGGAGTCTTTAATAACTAGACAATTAGACATGACATATTTTTAGGGCTGTTATGCCTGAAGTTGATGGTTGCATTTTTGTAATATGCCTACATAGTATTTTTAGATGTGCTTGTTATTCACTTATTGTAATAAAAAAAGGGGGTTCACTGAAAAGAAAATGATATTACCGTGGGTATTAAATTCATGACATTTATTTATCTACAAAATATCTTCAAATTAATAGTCAAGACAACTTGTAGCTTGACAGATTTAGTGCTTGGTGTTTGACGGCGTTGCCAGATATCACATGCCACAAAAAAAGTTTCAGACGTCATACACAACACAAGAGCTGGTAAAATAGAGACTCCTTTACCAGACGCATCTCAGAGCAATATTTTCGTCTTATGTCTCTCAGCATAATAAAAGGATAAGAACTTGCCAGAGACGAGCCATCTATCATTATAATATGGTCATTAATTCAGAGTTTTGGGTTCACATTAATCAGCACCTGTCGTCTGGGAGATTTAAAAAGAAATGTATCATAATGAATTTCATTATTTACTTGTGTTATAAGTAGCTGGTCCACTAATGTGTAATTTTATTGTGTTTTTGTATTGGTTTTATAAAGATAACAGCTACTGCAATTTTTGGATAAAGATTATTCCTCTTCCTTTAGAAAAAGTCGTTACCTTTTGAAGTAAATGGACTCTTTTTATATGCATAGAATTTTTTCCCCTATAGAATTTAAACATTATAACACATGTATTCAGGTCCACATCCACCAAATTGCCTGTATTCAAGTTACAATTATGTATTCGTGACGAGATGTAATTACACTTGATTATCATATGTTATTAAGGTGTCAGCGGGTCCTGCCCTTCGCCCCACTCCCTTCCCACCATATCCGGTAGTGAGAGACGTCATGTGTGTGTATGTGTGTGTGTGTGTGTGTGTGTGCACAGGGTGGTGTGATGCATCTAGTGTAGCAGCATTATGTTTGTGTTAAGGTGCGAACATTGCTTGCTCCCTCTCGCTTTCAGCCACCGCCGCTAGCTAGCCCTTGTGGTGAACAGGGAAGCAACTTGCATAAGTCTTCCCCTGCCAGTACACAGCCTCTTCACCATCAAGACTCCTGCTGTGCCTCCCCGTGGCAACACACGGTAACTGGGTGCCTTGTGGGCCTAGGCTAGACCAGCAGGGGATCTCAGAGTAGCACTGGACCCCAGAAGGACGGCGCATAGGCCCACTGGCATGTGGACACGTCCTGGCACCTACCAACCTCTGCCCCACTGCCTTGCGGATTAACCTTGGTAGGTATAAGGCTACTGGAGCAAACCCCAAGCGAAAAATCTGCGGTGGAGCCCCGCATCAGGCAAACATGCTTACAGAACTCCAACAAGACCCCCAACGGCTGTATAGGCGGAAGAGGTGACCACCATGGGAGCCCAATGATTACACCGGTGTACAAATACAATGCATGTTGGACAGGCTACTAAGGTGAAATTCAACAAACTAGGCAAACAACAGTCCATTGCAACTCTCCCTCACCCCAGTCATTGCAGCACTTGCACCACTGGATCAGGAAAAGGGAGAGCCAAAATGTGTGGTTGCAGCCTGCGCTCCTGCCTCACCACATAAATCAACTCGCGCGCAGCCATCATCCAGCTCCTCATACTTCTCATCATCACCAAAACCCCTAAGTCCTATGGCGACGGACAAGTGGTGACGGGGACAGGCAGAGATGACTGCCGGGAGTCTCTAGTCACAACTCTGCACATGGGCGGCACAGGTAAGATGGTCATTTATGCACTGGGATCTAGGCAGCAGTGCAATCTGGTGCTACTGAGCAGCCCTTTCGAGGAGCCACTCTGCTCACCCCACCTGGGGAGGGGGTAGAAAAGGTACCCTAAACATAGCCTGCCTAAAAAAACAACCTGACTGAGCATGTTGTATAGATGCCATAGCTACTTCACTCCTGAGCAGTTGCTCGAAGCATATAAGGGTTTCATTCATCCTAACTTGGGGTACTGCTCTCATATCTGGGGTGGCTCTTCTTCTGTCCAACTGGTAGATAGGGTGGAATCAAAGGCATTTCGTCTTATTAACTCTCCTCCTTTAGTCGACAATCTCTCTTCCCTTTCTCTTCGCCGCAATGTTGCTTCTCTCTCTCTCTTTTACAGGTACTTTAACGGGCAATGTTCGGTGGATTTGGCATCCTGTGTACCGCCGGCAAGGCCGTGGGTGCGTAACACACGTCTTGTCCGTGGTGCCCACCGTTTCTCTGTGGATGTCGGTCCCACGAGAATAACCCGTTATAGTGCCTCCTTCTTTCCTCACACAGCCAAACTGTGGAATGCTCTGCCTTCTTCTGTGTTTCCATACTTATACAATCTGTCTCACTTTAAAAGACTGGTTTTCTGGCATCTTCGTGGTATAGATTAACACAGTATACCGGTAATGTTTTTTTTCTCTATTTTCAATTTCTTTCTGTTCTTATTTTTTCGCCCCCCTCCAGGCCCTATTGTGGGTCGTTTGACCTGTGCCCGGGTGGGCTTATTCCCATAAAAAAAAAACACACACACACCCCCAGTAAGGTCATCCTTATGCGGTCGAAAACAATCAAAATCACAGATCCCCCAAAAAAACTGTACAACCTCTTATGGTCGCTGCATGGAATGTCAGGACCCTTCTGGATACTGACACAAAGGAACATCCTGAAAGAAGAACTGCCCTTGTGGCAAAAGAGCTGGCTAGGTATAACATCGACATAGCAGCCAAAAGTGAGTCCCGGCTCCAAGACGAGGGTCAATTCACAGAACGGGGGTTTGGCTATACCTTCTTCTGGAAGGGTAAGCCTGCTGCGGAGTGAAATTGCATTTATGGAGTTGTCTTTACCATCCACCAACGCAGGCTAACTGAAATGCCTATTGGGATCAACGAGCGTCTCATGACGCTTCGAGTCTCGCTGAATCACTCACGTCATGCCTTGAGTTCCACTGAATCACTCACGTCATACCTTTTTCATCAGTGCATACGCCCCAACACTGGTTGCAGAGGATGACATCAAGGAGGTCTTTTACACCCACCTTGACAGAGTGCTAACCTCTATCCCCAGAGAAGATAAGGTTGTGCTCCTTGGTGATTTCGGTGCCAGAGTTGGCAGAGATGTTGACATTTGGCAGGGAACCATAGGGAGAAATGGACTAGGCAAGTGTAATCCCAATGGCCTATTCCTCCTCAGCAAGTGTGCTGCACACAACCTCACTATCACCAATACTGTACCTTGTTTAGGCAGGCCAACAAGTTCAAGGGTTCGTGGCAACACCCACGATCCAAACACTGGCATCTCAATGACTACATCATTGTCAGATAAAGAGATCGCTGAGATGTCCCCATGACCCATGCCATGCGTGGCTCAGACCACTGCGACACTGATCATCAGCTCGTCAGAGCCAAGCTCTCACTTCACGTTTCCCCAAAATGGTGAAGGCAGTAAGCCTCTAGAAGAAGTTTTAACACTAAGCGTCTGGAGGATCCAGCATTAGCACATGCTTTCAGAGAGCAGCTCGAACATGGGCTGATAAACAACCCGACAATGAACAACCCAATCCCAGTGCTGAATGGGATATTCTCAACACTGTCATGACAAAAACCTGTAGAGAGACCCTCGGCCAGATCGAAAGAACACGCCAAGACTGGTTTGATGAAAATGACCCGGCAATCAATGTACTCATCAATGATAAACGTGCTGCTTTAACTGACAGGCAGAACAACCCTCAGTCTCGGACTAAAGCTGATACCTTCCGCAAGAAGAAAGCTGCGGCCCAGCGGGAACTTCACAATCTAAAGAACGACTGGTTTAAAAATAAAGCATGTGAAACACAAAAATATGCAGATCAGCACAAGATGCACAATTTGTTTAATTCCACCAAAACATTTTATAGGCCAATCACTCGTAGGGCAGTCCCCCTCCACTCATTCGACAGTAACTCCATAATTAAAGACGATGAAGGCTTCCTTCAGCGCTGGAAAAAGCACTATCATTCACTGCTCAACAGAAACACTGATGTGGATGTCCTGACTACTCAGCAGGTCCCTCAGCATCCAGAGCTGCCCCACCTCAGCTATCCTCCATCCCTGGATGAGGTAGCTACTGCCATCAAACAGATGAAAAATAACAAAGCCTCAGGGCCTGATGGAATCCCAGCCAAGGTGTATAAAGCAGGAGGACCTCTCCTTACCATCTGTCTTCATTTTCTCCTGGAGAATATATGGGAAAAGGAGGAAATCCCCCAAGCTTTAAAAGACGCCTCCATCGTCAATATTTATAAGAACAAGGGAGACCGGTCAGACTGTGGCAACTACCGTGGGATCTCGCTGCTATCCGTAGTTGGCAAGATTATTGCCCTAGTCCTCCTTATCAGACTTCTTTCTGAGGTGGAAAACTTCCTCCCAGAATCTCAATGTGGCACCATTATCTTTGCTGCCTGCCAGATGGAGGAAAAATGCAGAGAACAGCGTCGTGACCTGTACATGGCTTTCTTTGACCTTACCAAGGCCTTTGGCTTAGTCAATAGGGAAGCCTTCTGGTGGACCCTCAACCGTTTTGGCTGCCCTCCAAAATTCATCGTCATTGTGTGGCAACTCCACGATGGCATGAACGGCTGTGTCCTGCACAATGGCACCCAGTCTGAGTTCTTCCCCATCCAAACAGGGGTTAAACAAGGATGTGTACTGGCACCAACTCTCTTTTCCATTTTCTTGGCAGCCTTCCTTACTCATGCCAGTGCCAATTTAGCCAGCGGAGTGAACATCGGGTACCAGATGAAGGGTCTTTTCAACATAAAATGGCTCCAGGCAAGAACAAAGGTGTCGGCAGCTTCCATTACTGAACTTCAGTCTGCAGCCAACCTTACCCTTGTTGCTCACACTGAACGCGACTTACAGGGGATCCTGAATGCCCACGCAGATGCGTATACACACTTCGGCCTTGAGGTGACATGGGTCCCATACAGGAGGCACCTGAAGGCATTTAAAAACCTTCACCAACTTAGTCTACGTTACATCCTCCGAGTTCGCTGGGAAGACAAGAGAACAAATGCCAGTATTCTTGCTGACACCAACTGTAGGAGCATCGAGGCTACCATTATCCATGAACAACTACGTTGGACTGGCCATGTTCCCCTCATAGACGACAGTAGACTGCTAAAGCAGCTACTTTACAGACACCTTACGATTAGTAAATGTAACACCGGCGGGCAGCTGAAAAGATATTTGGTTAGTCTTAAAACAAACCTGAAAAAGTGCCAAATCGACCTCCTCACCTGGGACACAATTACTCCACATCGTAACGCTAGGAGGAGCACCACATGACAAGGTGTCAATACTTTCGAGTTAGCCCAACTGCAAACTGAAGCAGACAAGCACCAATGCTGGAAAGACGCTGCCACCGCCCCTCCCGCACTCTATGTAGCTCTCCACATGTGCAACATCTGTGGACAACTCTGCCGGTCCTGTATCGGCTCTATTTAGTCACCTGAAAACTCTCCAGTGAAGGTGACATCCCTAATAACTCATATCACTGTATCATAGCTGGATGATTGCCATACGCGATTCTGAGTGACAGCAAAGCAGTGGTGTGTGTGCGTGTGTGTGTGCGTGTGTGTGTGTGTGCGTGCGTGCGTGCGTGCGTGCGTGCGTGCGTGCGTGCGTGCGTGCGTGCGTCACTAGGTAGTTAATATCAGGTAAGAATACATAATTACATTACAACACTTGTCTAGTAATGAGAACAAAGTGATCTCATAAGTATCAGATTTTTTATCATTATTATTTCAGGGATACAATCTGCCAGTGTATTAGTTCAGTACAGTGAAGGATTCTGTGGCTATTAAGAGGATGGTGCACACCAATGGGCGGATGCATTCGCTGAATGTAGGTTTTAAGATTAGGCTTCTACAGTGGAACAAGTTTGAAATTCAGCGCTGCATTCAGTTGCGTGACTCGTAGCGTCGTAGCACCTGTACATTAAAAAATTTTCAACTGAACGGCAATATAGTTGGGTATTAGAGGTTTTTGTAGCGCTGCGAAGATTGTGGCCAGCTCTGTAGTGCTGAGATGTTTATAAACAAGAAAGATAGCGACTGGAAGAGAAGCATATCATTGCAGTGGCTGTGATTTTTTATTTACAGACCTCCAAGAAGTATGTGTACACATACAGACCTGCAGTATTACAAAGATTCAATCACAATAGTACAGTATATATGTATACAGTAGATATCTAAAGTCGGATGTTAATAACCTACATATAATATATTGATACCAATTTGTTTTTCTAGGAGGGTAAAAATGAAGAGAAGGAGCTTGACCTCGATGAACTGCTCGACGTTGATGGTGAATTAAAGCGTAAGAAGTATTTATGGGATTCTTTGGCTGACTGCAAACAGTCCAAGGATAAAGTGGAGGTGAGTACTTTTATATATTGTACTGTACTGTTATGTTATATATATATATATATATATATATATATATATATATATATATATATATATATATATATATATATATATATATATATATATATATATATATATATATATATATATATATATATATATATATATATATATATATATATATATATATATATATATATATATATATATATATATATATTCCAATAACCCTGGTCGACTAGAGAAGGTCGTTCGTAACCGGGTTCGTTAACGAAACCATTGTTTCAATGGGTTTTTGGGTAATTGGTTCCAGCTCACCGAAAATTTCCTAAATTCAACAAAAATGGTAGAAAAGTTCACTTACTTTGAGGTGTGTATGTAGAAGGCTCCTGGATGATGATGATGATGATGGGATTTAGAATGGGGGTGGAGGAGAAGGAAGAAGAGAAGGCATTGGGGTGGAAGAGAAGTCACCCCATGGCGCCATTTCACCCATAAAATTTTAGCTCTCTGGTGTAATTCAAGATTATTTTCTTTAAATCAACACTGCATTGCATTATATATTGTCAATATGTAAAATATATTTCAAAATGACCAATAATTTGCTTGGAAACACAGAAAAAAAGCGTTCAGTTGAAGAGAGTCTCAAGCAAGATGTTACCTCCGGTGAAAACAGAGAGAGACTAACTCCTGTTTGCTGTGTTAAGAGGCTGGATGCTGCGCATTAATCTAGTCACTTTACCTTCAATTATGTTCAATAATTGTTAAAATGACTAAAAAATTGAATATTAAACTTTTAAAATTATTGAATAGTATAAACTTCTTGATATTTACTAAAATAGTAAGGAATTTAAGCCCTAGAACCGATTAATGTATTGGCGGACTGATACTAAAGCTGGTTGCCCGGTCAGTGCAAGCGAAAACATGTTGAGGTCGGTTCGTAAGAACTTCGTTAACCGAATTTTTTTTCGTTAACCGAATTGAAGATCCTTATGGAAGGCAGTTCGTTAATCGAAATTACGTTACAAGAAACATGCATAGAGAGTGCAGGTATATAAACAGCATACATAGACAATGCAGGTACGTATTCAAACAATATACAGTACTGTACTATAATTATACAGTGGGTATTGCAGGTATACAATAGACTGTACATAGACAGCACATGTACTGTATACAAATAATGTCCATAGGCAGTGCAGGGATACAAACAATGTACATGAACAGTGCAGGTATACAATGTACAGTATCTGCAAAAATTTTTGCTCGACAATATGATACAACAGAGGAAGGATTTTGACAACCCTATAGAGACAACATGAGTAACAGTGTTCATTTTGACATCCATCAGACCCTACCTTGCAGATACTTTCTGAAGTTGACAGTAAAGAGACTCAGCACATGCAATTAACTCATCTTGATTCTTAGGAGACCTATGATACTGTATAGGAAATGCAATTTATCACAAAATATCTGCAACTTCATTTACAGCATCACCTACACTAAGTTCAAGCCTGTAACTGGCACAGTGCCAAACAGTTGCATCTCCTGATTTCCATCATTAACATTACTGCATTGAAAAACCACCTCTTTGTAAGCAACTTGACAGAAGACAACTACTGTAATAAACCTCTCCATTAGTAAAGAAATTAAAAAAAAAAAATGAAAACCATCCTGTGTACCCCCCCCATTTCCATCACTGTAGACAGTGTAAGTCCAGTATACAAACAATGTACAGTCAGATCATAAATTACTTTTACCTCTTGGTTTGATGGATTTACACTGAACACTACCTTTTTTGTAGTCTTGATAGGGTTGGTAATGCAGGTGCTCCTCTACTTACGAATGAGTTACGTTCCTGAGGGTTGTTTGTAAGTCCAACTTTACTCTTGTAGATACCAAACATATTGTAAAAAATGAAAAGATTATGAATACAGCTACGGTATACCCTTTAGTACAGCCTTAAAACCTGGCTCACTCTTCTCCTATTAGGTAATGTTTGTTCTAACTGGAATTTTCTTCAAAATAATCCAGTCTCATCCACATTAAACACCTGTTCTGGCAGGTAACCAGCCTCAGTGATGATGTTTGTATCTCTGAAAGTTTGTAAGTTGAACGTTCTTAAGTAAAGGAGCACCTGTATTAGAATCATATTTCAAAACATAGGATTATACGAAAAGGGAAATGCATTATGAGAAGTGACAGGAATATTGTCACTGGTAGCTCCACATATTCCCTTTATAAGAAAAGAAAAGCTACCGAAGTGAAGCCAGATGTGAGAGGTTTGTACGGAATTTTATGCCAGTTTGTCATATTGTTTGACACCAAAAGGGTAAAAGTAATTTATGGTCTGACTTTACACTCGCCACAAAAAGTTCTCGAACAGCTGGGCACGACATTTCAGAATAAGCACTATGGCTCGTGTCATTTAAGAATGGTTGGTTTGCTTGGTCGCTCATCTTTATAGTATTTACAGGTGAAAAGAAGTACATGTACAGTAATTTAATTTTCAATGAAACTTTCTCAGAAAGCAGTATTCAGATATATCGTTCATTTTGTCACATCGTATGGCCCTTATAGCATTTGAACAGGGCCCTCTGCCTAGACATGCACGTTTGTGATTATACAGGGTGTTACAGAGATCCCAAATCATGTGGAATTGTGGCGCCGTATACAGGACAGTGTGACAAACATTCTCAACACCACTGGGGTCTTTGTACATGTGCGATGGGTTGAAGCCTGCATGAGCAAGAGGGGCAGAACTTAGAACATTTGCTCTAAATGTTAATATACCAGCACAAATGAAATGGCATTATTATTGTTAATTGTCACTAGTAGCAGTGGGTGTTTCATTCACACCCCATAGGTTTCATCACATTCCTACAGTGCTATTGAGAATTGACAATTTGGTCATTTAGTCATTTATCTTTATTTGTGTCTCAGGAATACACCCCCTAATTTATGAAAGGTATTTATAGAACACCCTGTATATAACAAACACATCTTCAGGTTATTAGAGCAACATACATATTGCACACACAACACTGCCCACCACCAACAAGAACCTTCATGCCAGCAATAGCATCAGCGTCATCATCAAAAACAACAAAACTATCTTCAGGTGGAAGAATATATTTAAACATCAAATCATTCAGAGGAAAAACTTTCAGTTTTACTGTACATAATTTTGGAAGTGGCAGGTAAGAGTGCCAACACTGCCACGGTAAGGGGGGGTAAATGGTGGTTTCATTTTTTATTCTTATTCCTTTTATTTATAGCTGTGTAAGAGAAATTAGTCTAGTTATGTTTTCTGTGTATATATAAATTATTTTATTTTATTAGTCTTTCTGTCTATATGTATCTATCTTATATTTCTTTGCTTATATTTTTAAGTTAATATTCTTTTCTATACTTTTCTATTTTTTTCTCTCAATTTATTATCATACCATAGTTACAGTATATTCTATACTATGGATTAGTCTGGGAAAACCATGTCATTCTTACTATAACACTTATTATACTTACAACAGTAGCCTGCCACCACCCAGACTTTTATAAGAATATAACATACCTTATTGAACTGTTAGGTAGCGTGATAGCGAGCTTATAGGTACGTGAGTTACATTAGTTATTTTCTGAGAACCAACTGTTTGAAGGAATAGAGTGGTGATACTTGTAGTTTACTAATTCAACATTTATTAATGGCAAAAGTGAATAAGATGTCAATTTAACACACCCAGACAAGACTGGACCACTTAGGGTTTACCTTACAAGTAACAAAATAGATCTTTAATTATTTGTTACAACATTCAACAATGATTATATTATTTCCTTGGCCATACAGATGGTTATTTCACGCACTTGACAATATCACAAATTAACATATTATTTATAACATCATATTATTTTGGAACGAACAACATGGCACTTTTACTAGAACTCAGTTGGTAGTACATATGAATGATGTACTCACAACCCACATAACAAACATCATTTCTGGTAATACCCTGTACCAATATTTATGGGTTCACTACTCAACAATATACAATATACAATAATAATACTTTGGTCCATACAACTGTGAGGAGTACACCAGGGTGTCACACTGGTGTCACACCAACAAACGAAGAGCGCTGTTAGGTCGGTTGCAGTCCGACACATGCCAGAGAGTTCATCCCAAGGGTGTTAGTCCCCAGGGCACGCTATTCTCTGGCTTTAATCGGGCTGAATTAAAGGCATCCTGTAAGACAGCCAGCTGGTGTGCCACTACCGGTCCCCCGGTAGCTGCTGGGTATTCATCATACACCCAATCTATGCCTGAGAAATGTGAGGAGCAGCTTCAGAGATGTGACACAAAAATAACTCAATCACAAACAATCTTTCGTCTGGCAACGACAGATGATATTTACGTTATGTTAATTCTTTCACTGGGTACATGAAAATTTCACTATGTTACAACATGAACACTGATATTCACAAAATTCAACTGAGTTACTGACTTAATATGGCGGGCGTGAGAAGCATACCTGAGAAATGCAAGGAACAGCGTCAGAGATGAGATGCTTTTCCTCATACACGCGTTTATATACGGCTAGCTGGCAACTCGGGCCTGTGTCAGACATGCCAGAAGGGCTAGTCTCTCAAATGACAGAAATTCCAAATAAATTAGTTGCTATACATTTGAATATGAAACTCAGTGTCATGGGTCAGGTGAATTTCTTACATCTGTTGTTACAATCTAATCATAGGTTGAACTTGCCAGGAAAAAGTGAAATGGGCATCAATTACACACGCTGTTAACATCATTCTCATAACATCAGCTGGATTTCAGACAAGGACCCTCTATGGGTATATGTTGAGATCTCAGAGAAAATTAGACCAACAGATTCTTTTCAGGAGATTAGTGACTTTCTTAAATAGACAACTGACATTAACTAAACTACAAACATCAGATTCTCTGAGGTTTGAGCATTAAAATTATCTAATTTCAGTAGTACAGGTTGTACCTCTCTAGTCCGGCAACCTCGGGACCTGACCGGTGCCGGACCATGGAAATTCACCCTCGAAACACCCTACATAAAGCATAAAAACATAAGATTGGAAATAAATAAACAAGAAAAAGTAATTACAGTACTGTTAAAATACTATTTCATTTACCTTTAATGCTACCATAATTATTCTTCCAAAGTGAAGTGATGGTACTGTAACTAAAATTACATTTGAGGTACATCAGGGATGTTGGCTATTGGGTAAACTAAAATCGTTCCGGACCACGGGAGTTTCCAGACCACAGAATGCCGGACTAGAGAGGTACAACCTGTACAGTAGTACCCCGATTTACGCAACCCACAGGGTACCGCGGAAAGTGAAAACCGCGTAAAGTGAACAACAGAACATATGGGATTAATTCCAATAGAGACTGGCCCGCCCCCAAACTCCACTTTTTCCGACACAATACCAATGTTGTAGTAAAAATAACATCTAAATTTTATGATGGTATGCTTACACAAATAATATTTAAGAGAAATACAGTCGCCAGGTTAATGTCCATTCAAATAATAGACTCAAATCCCTCCCCCTCTTCCCAGCACACTGGCCCCTACCTCTCTGAGAAATGATTGGGTGAAACACTAGATTTTAACGTTTAGAAATAAATAATACCTCAGACTAAAGTTAGGATAATATAATTGACATTTGTGGATTCCTTGCAGGTCAGGGAATATTTTGAATGTAAACTTCATATATTTTGCACAAAAGATAAAATATTTGCTTTGTGTAAACCAAATTATTACATTAGGTCTAAAATTTGTATGTCTAATGCAAAATCCATGATGTTTATATTCAAAATGGTCATCATATTGTAAGAATTCCAGCAATGTAAATTATATTCTGGCCGGGTAATTTGTATGAATTTTATAAGCTAAATAAAAAAAAAAAAAAAAATCTACTTCACCATGTATATGAGTAGATGCACCGCGGAAAGTGAAAGTCCGGTTCTGGCAAGGTACTGTGTAAATGAGAAATCTGAGAAATCGCGGAAAGTGAAAGTGAAACCGTGTAAAGTGGGGTAATACTGTACTTGGAAACTCATGGTTATCCCCCATGGACGATATTAGGAGATGCCAGACTCAACACTCACTTATTTGACAAGTTTTACTAATAATAAAGACAATTGAAGCTTTCAACATCACTCACAAGGGATCTTGAATGTCTCATCTGTAATGAAACATATCTAACATAATATAATAGTACGGGGTTCTCACTCAATTTAAAATCTACGAACATGGTATGAGCTCTGAAGAAATAACATAGTTTCAGAGATACATGAAATTGAGAGAAACAGAGGGCTCAGATGTCCTGAAGCGATAAGAAAATGGACGCATCAGATGGGGGGACTCGATACAGAGGGCACGTTTTATGGGCTATTGAGCGTAGTATGAATCGTCAGATTTTTTGTTAACTAACATATACGACCTTGGTCATTACACCACCAATTCATATTTGTAAAGGGAATTTGTTTTATTTTTATTTTAGTATACAGGTACAGAATTTTATGAGGTGAAAGAACCTTTGTTTTTCATGATAGTGAATAGTATTTAAAAGTGGTCAGTAAGTCATATCAAGAAGCTGGTTCAGTACAACACTAAGCAATACTCTACTGTATATTTGTGTAGATGGAGAACATGTGCCCATTTCAATAAAGAGTTGTATAACAAGTGGAGTGTATTGCAGCAGGAAGAATATGGGGGGCGGGGGAGATGGGATAGAAAAAAGTTTTTCTATATTGGTTCAAAAAATCATGTAGAAACTATTCTTACACTGTACCATATATCTGCTGAACACCGTGTTTATATTTTTTTCTCTTTTCAGAAATTCATTGATGAATTATTGGAACGAGCTACAACTCTGTAAGCAACTAGAGACATAACTTGTGTGTGTCATGTGTGTTTGTGGCTCCATCAACATCCTGGGTTTTAGTGACTGAGAGGAAATATACCTCTGTTTGGTGTCCAAAGTGTGCTGTTAGCACTAGTAGTGGGAATATAGTAAATGGCAAAGATATGAAGCAGTATTTCAGAATATATATATATATACATATATATATATATATATATATATATATATATATATATATATATATATATATATATATATATATATATATATATATATATATATATATATATATATATATATATATATATATATATATATATATATATATATATATATATATATATATATATATATATATATATATATATATATATATATATATATATATATATATATATATATATATATATATATATATATATATATATATATATATATATATATATATAGGGTGACTTCATGTGATGATATCGGTCGTCCCACAAGACTGTGATGCAACTCTGGCAATCCTGAAAAAATAGAGCTAAACTGGATGGCTCCTTGGCTTGGAGCGCTAGAGCAAGAATGAAATAAGATTTCATTTGGACAGTTGGAAGCTGGTCTCAGTGCTGGTTGTATGCAGGTACTTTATATCTTGGGTACAATTGTGTGTTGCTCATTCAGTGACTGTCATTTATTTCAGTATCACATATTGATCATAGGAGCTATCAGTGAATGGAATTGACTTTAATACTTTTCTATTTTTCCATTAACTTGTAACTATGTCTCAGTTATTTGATATTTTGGCCTGTTCATGTATAAAAAAAATCATCAAAATGTTTAGTATAGGGAAGATGGTGTAGGCTGGTAATATGACATAGATAGATAATGTAGCTAGTCTTTGGCATTAACTGAAAAAAAGATTCATTTCTCAGTTTACTAATATTAATTAAAATAACAGTCACTCCCAAAGCATGTGTGAGATTTGGAACCATAATGAAAGCTATGGTTTAGTTGTTATAAAACTAAAAGGATGTTATAGGGAAGTGCTTATTGTTATGGCCATACACCACTACTGGACTGTATCAACTTCATCATTTGTTGGGCCTATTTTCAGCAAAATATACTTTAACAGGTGTGAAATTTAAAAAAAAAAAAATCATAATATTTAAAATATCTTTACATATTATATGTATTATAATGAAGGTGGAAAATGTCCCTAATTTGAGCACTTCCCTAGACTGGTGCTTCTCTGTAAAAGGATTAGTTTTACCTTCATAATGAAAGCTAGTACAGTACAAGAATCTTTATCACTCGTATCTTTTATTTTCATTTTAGTTTAGCGTGTTAATGTCTTCCTTAGTTCATAGGCAGTTATGAATTATGATTTGTTAGCATATTTTACATATTGTTCGCCCTCCAGATTATATTTTGGTGAATTTTCATTTTTTGAAAAGTACAGTACAGTACTGTACAGTATAAATCTGTCCGCTGTTGACATGTATCGTGTGCATTTAGTGACATTTGTTTGTTGTAATTTAATGTTAATTTTGATCTGTTTCTAATTAACCTTGTCAATTCTTAGGCTCGAGTTTCATTCATTATTCCAATGCTGTTAGTGATCTGCACTTTAGATTTGATTTCAAGTAGGCAAATGTTATGTTTATGTTGCAGGTAGTAAAATCAAGCTTAAAGACCCCATCTATTGTTATATCTTAACGTCCCATCACAGTGAATTTCCAGCACAAATTACTTCAGGACCTCTTACCTATTGCATGGTAAGAATTGGAGTAGTAAGGCTTGAAGTGCTTGGAGATTACGTATAGCAGAAATATAGCTAGTGAATACTTCCATAATTGCCATTTTCATATTCATGAGTCAAAGGAAGTTAGCCAGTATAAATTTTAATGTAAGAGCAAAATTACTGAGAAAGGCATGCAGAGTTGTAAGATTGGAAGTGAAGTGATATCAAAATATATTTTGAGACTTAGATGTCAATGTAGTAATTCTTATTCTCCTGTTTTTTACAAGGAAAAGCAGCTTTATTGACATTATACTTGAGTCTCAGAATGACTGATCACATTTCAGACGTCTCTCACTTGGGCCACAGTCTCCCAAGGCGAGAATATTCAGACTACTTGTTTCATAAATGCAAGATATTTAATGTCTTTCTTTAAAAAAATAAGTGCTTGATATAATTGTATATCAGGCTAGTTGTGAGGTAATTTTTTATGTTGTGATGTGCAAGACTGAATGTTTTAAAACAAGCAAAACCTTTGGTTTCAGGATCTCATCTGTAATTTGCCTCCTTTTATGTCGAAAATTGTGCACATTTTAATTTAAATTTGATGTAAACAAGTTGTAGCATTTTGTCTCAATAGTGAAATGTTTTTCTCTTCACTCTTGCATTCAATTTGTGGGTAAAGATGAAAAAAAACTGTAGCTTTATCAATTTAATTTAAAAATTGATAGACAATAATTATCCAAGAATGTGTGTGACAATACAGCGCATTCTCAAGAAGTTGTCTTCTTAGAGAAAATGTCTTCTCATTGCTTGATTAGAGGCACATTTCTTTACCCATTTTTTTTTTCAGAATATGTATGAAAGCATTATGTCATGCATGAACAATGTTGCAGTGAATTACGGGTGTCCGGCCCAATGTTTGAGAGAGACAATAAAGCTAAATAAACGTATGCTAATTTTTTCTGTGATTATATTCATAACCTTTACTTACAACTACAGGTAGTAAAATTCCCAGCCTTGCTCGGGAGAGTTATACAGGTAACTCGCGTTTTACTCCCGTTTAATTTAAGCGTTTTTGGAATAACGCGATTGTTCAATTAATACCAAAAGCTAATTTATGCGCACCTATTTTTGAAATAACGTGCTCAAGACAGTTTAAATTTCCCGCTTATTCACCTGGCAGTGGAGTCGCGTGTGATGCCTGGTGAAGTGCTTGTAAGTTATTACAATAAAGTCGTAGTCGTATCAACATCAACGATTTTAATATTATTATTGATAATAATAATTATTATAATAATGTAATAATAAAGATTATTACAACTAATAATGATGATAATGAAGTATTCTGTACAATAACTGTGACGACGTCCAGCAAGCTTCCCGAGTATCGCTTTCTCAGTTTACATCAGCACTACTTTTTCTCTGTACTCTCATTTGTATTGTGTTTATCACGTACCTTTTTAGTGTTAAAAGCAGTTTTCCCCATTGAGCATGTCTGGAAAACGTCCATCTGCCTCCTCATGGGGTGCATAAAGCTAAAAAGGCACAAAAAACAATCGCAATGGACTTGAAATTAAAAGTGATCACCTGCCTTCAGAGAGGAGAGCGTGTGTCGGAGGTTGACCTGGTTTGTGAGAGCACTGTTCCCCTAACCTGTACCATTTACATGTATTGTTATGGGAAAATTATGTTTAATTTATGCATTTTTGAATTAAGCTGTGGTTTTCAAGAACATAACCCCAGCTTAAAACGAGAGGTGGGTGTGCAATATAATCTTGACTCCTATCACATTTTGCCCTTCCTGACAAGGGTAACCTCCTCAAACCAACCTAAGCTAACCTAACCTAATTCAACATTACTTAGCCTAACCTAATCTTCACTGTCACAGTTTGCCCTTAATAACATGGGTAACCACCAGTGGCAATTCTAGGATTTTTTTTAAAAGGGGGGGGGGGCAAAGGCTTGGAAATTTCCCCAATTTGTGTGACTGAAGAAGTACCCAGGCACCAAGCAAAGAGTAGATTAGCCCATGTAGGATTATGCCTGAAACACACAAAACCATTTATAAACTTACTGTCACCAAGTCCACAACTTGTACTGAATGTATTTGTAAAAACATTATGATATTAATAAACAGAATATCCATGTCTTTATTTAGGGCTGATCTGACTTTCTGCCTCATTTACACACAATTGCAGGGTTTCAATTGACAACACAACATACGTACATGAATATTGTTTCTCACTTTTGATCTTTTTTCAATTTTGTATTTCTTTATGGTTCTTGATTATTATTATTAGAACATAAGGAGTCTGCAATAGGCCAGTTGGCCTGTGCATGGCAGCTCCTGTCGAGAGTTACTACCACGCTCTATCATCCATGAATCTATCTAGCCTCCTTTTAAAACTTTCCAGCATTCCAGCACTTACTACAAAGTTGCTAAGCTTGTTGCACTTATCCACCACCCTATTTGTGAACCAGTTCCTTCCTATCTCCCTCCTAAACCTAAACTTATCCAACTTAAATCCGTTGCTACGAGTCCTATCCTGCTCAGATATTATAAGAACTTTATCTATATCTCCTTTATTGGTTCCTTTCACCCACTTAAATACTTGTATCATATCTCCCCGCACTCTTCGTCTTTCTAGGGAAGGCAAGTTTACTTTCTTTAACCTATGTTGATATGGAAAGTTTCTAAGTCCGGAATCATTTTCGTCATTCTTTGCTGCACCGACTCCAGTGAATTGATATCCATTCTATAATAAGGGCACCAGAACTGAACAGCCCCCCAGGCCCCAATGTGGGTCAGTGACCTGTGCCCGGGTGGGCTAATCCCCGTAAAAAAGGAAAAAAGAAAAAAAAAGATGAGTGCTGAATTGAAATCCTCTTGAGAACCTTGCTTCCGTTGACGGGGGTCGTCGTTTTCACAGTCAGACTTTTAAAAAAATTGAATCACGAAGGACACCACAATACAGTGTTTAACAGGGAGGTATGGCAGCAAAATTAACTTATAATAATGGATTTAATTAATTTTACTGCCACACCTTCCTGTTAAGCACTAGTGTGGTGTCCTTCATGAGTCAGTTCTTTAAAAGTCTGGTTGTAAACACGACAACCCCCGTCAACAGAAGAGGGTGATTAAAACTCCAGCCATGAGGCCCTTCCTTACTTGTGGTGTAGTTTGTTTACTGTGTCTCCCTAACTTCATTGAGCTTCCTCACTTCACTGTACATCCCTACTTTCACTGTGCTTCCATAAATTTACTGTGCTTTGAGCTTTAGCACCTTGACTGTTCCTCACTACATTCACTCTCCTTCCCTTATTTGACCTTTCCTTTCCTACAAACATTGGCACTGCCTGTGGAAATGATTAACTGGAAAATGCAGTGTTGTAATCATTAATTCAACGAGAACTACGCATTACAAAAGTACTTCTGGGTGCATGTGTACCAGTGGTCTTTCAGGTACATGTTTCAAATGTTAGTAAGGGAAACATGTGAGATAGGTTAAAGTTTTCCCGAATGTCAACAAAGATGACAGGTGTACCGGTGGATGTATGGGTGCATG